CCATATCTTTCTCATTTTAAGATTCAGCTCAAAGATTAACAAGGGATATCTCACATCCATCTCCAGAAGGTTGAACATGCTTGACTCAGCAATTTCTTTTGATTCATCAAATTTCTCCAGAGCTTGGCGAAGTTCTTCATCAGGGAGCTTGCCCTGTCTTTTCTTTTTGTAATCAAAATCCAGGCGTCGACCCTCCATTTTCTTTAGGTGATGCTGCAAAACAAAAATGCAAACATAAGCACAGAATAAAGGATGCTCCCCAACTCTCCTTATACTGCATTGTAGTCAGGTAGTCCATGTACATTTGCAAACATGTGCTGTTTGCTGTTTGTATATCAACCCTTCCCCAGAGGGGAGAAACACAGAACAATGGTTTTACATTTATGAAGCCATGGTGCACTGCTGTCTATATGACAGACCTTCAACATTAAAAAGGCCAAACAGAATGGGTAACTGCAATTGCCACCTGCATAAAAGACATGTGAGTTTCTAGCCTTTTACTCTAATGTAGAATCACCTCAACAGTACTTTTTTTCTTCCCTAGACGTTTAAAATAAACTCAATTAAAAGCACAAGTTAGTACATTTCTGCCTGTGTAGCAGTTCTCATCAACAAAGCAACACAGAAAATATTTTTATCATTTCCATCAGACCATTAAAAGATCTTAATGTTATCTTTATTATTAAAGATTTTCTAGTTTGTCAACTGACATAACACTCATGTCAATCTGTTTAGCAGCTGACACATCAAGCTGGCCGAAAGTTAATGCTACCAGCATGAGCATGAATGGTTTAGAATCAATTTGTCATTTATTATTATATTTAGAACTTTGTCAACCTTGTAAGTTATATAAAACTAAGATATCTTTCTTCCACATATATTTAACAATATGAAGCCCTTACTGAGCTCAGAAGAGCAGTTACTTATACAGATAACTATTTGCTGAACTGGGAGGTACTTCCACAATTATTAAATTATATTGTGTCCACAGAAGTATGTGTGCAAAGAGATTTTTCTCTCTAAATGCTGGCTGCTTCTTGGATTACTAATTACATAATTAATGCAAGCAAACAGTGTTTGTGTTCAGAATTCCTGGGAATGTTTTGGTCGCAGTCTTCATACAGACAAGGGTAGTGCCAGTCCAGAGGGAACTATCAAAATGCTCTCAGATGTCATACACTAGAAAATTGAATGTAAACATCTGTTTATCTATTTAGTGAAATTAGCTTTCAGATGGTAGAGTGAGAGTACTGTCTTCATGCCTTCATAAGCTTTACAATGTTACCATCAAAAAATGTTAGAATTTTGATCTTTCCCTTTCTAAACCATCAACAAGAGAGACAGAACTGAAACAAAACTCAAGCCAAAAGAGGCCAAAATCAGATCATCTGTGAATCTGAAAGCCCATTTTAAACTACACAACTAACAAAAATTTTGAAGATATGCACAGTCTACACTTTTGGTATTATTAAAATACTGCATTGAGGTCAATACCTGTATTTCTCTCAGATCTTTGTCATGGAGATTCTGAAGTGGGTCAATGAAGTTTTGCTTCACTTCCATGTCTAAAGAGTCCTTGACCTCTGAAAGCTCCTTCATAGCCTCTCCCACATCTGCAAGTGCTGGTCCTGAAAGAAAAGATGTCCAGTTTATCTCAAAATAACTTAGTTCCAAATCAATGTAGAATAAAATTGAGTCACAGAAATTTCAGTTAACATTTTATTTTAAACCTCAGGTTTAGGAAAGAAACAGAGTATGATTCACTGTGTGAAAGGGCAACATGGATTTTACACTTCTGCAGCCCCCACAGTTTATGCCTTGTAACACAGCTGAACTTGAGGATCCAAGCTGCATTAAGAGAGCTCCCCCCACATCCCTTGTTGCCCATTCATTACTCACTCTGGTGAAACAAGCATGCTAGAAAAGAATTATCTGTATTTGCTCCAGTGTTGCTGTCACCAGACACTAGACTGCATACAAAAATAGCTCTAATGCAAGTCTAGGTCTCCCTGTTTGTATCGGTGAGACTGGTGACGGTATCAAATGTAAAAATGCTTCACAATTTAACTGAATTGTTTTTTGATGAGAGATTTTTTTTATAAAACTATCGACTTCATACACCTACTCAAGTTTATAAAACTCAGTAAGAATTAGCAGCCTTCTCAGATTTCCTCCAAGATTAACTTGAGGGCCACAAAAATTACCACTCCGGTTTACCTCCTCTGCATAAAAACAAAAGCAAGAAATTAAAAAAATGCCCTCCTGGTTTGAGATGTAGGTTCATGGAAAAAAATTCACTTTCAAAGAATACAAGTAGTCTGAAAACCTAAAAATGTGAGAAATCAGAAGGAGCTTTGTCTCCCAAGCAGGGGATGCCAGCAATACACTGCAAAACCAGAGAGCCTGCCAGACTCGGGTGAAGAGTGACAAACAGCCATAATAGCTGCTATTAGTTAAGAATGTGAAAATAATTGCCATATCTATTGTGCTGCATGCTAGTGCAACCATCAGAGAATATACAGCAATTTGCACAAACTAAATTCTATTAGTTCTTAATTTTTCCTTTAAAAATATGTTTGAAATTCAGCAAATGAGAAGCAACCAATTAAAAAACCCAATTCAGTAGTCTTTAGCACAAATCAACCTGCATCTGCCAATCTAACTAGCCAATTATGTAAAACAAAAAAGAAAGTACCTTTTCCATTGCAGATGTCTTTATATGAGGAACAACATTTTATGAAGATTCAAAGAGGAAACTGAATTTTCACAGTCTTATTTGAGGGCCCTGGGTGTTGCCACATAAAAATGGCCACAGAGAAGCCCACACAAATAGGACAGAAAGACAAAGGATCCTGTTGAGAATGTCAGGAACTAACTAACTCTTTTAGTTAGACCTTTACTGTTGAAGAACACAATGTTAAATCTCAGTTTGACATTTCTAACTCAGGCAGCCGTAAACCCATTTGGGTCTTGGAGGGAGGAGCAGCTGGCAGGTAAGACAGGAGTATTCACTAGAGCCTTAAAATGTGGAATTTGGTCAGGAAAAAAGGTCCAAGCCTATTAAAAACCTATTAGCCTTTATTCCTCGCACGTAATGAAGACAGTAGTATTCATTATAAGGATTCTGAGGACAAATGGGCTTTATTGTACAGGTCCATAGACAATAATACAATTTCTGAACATGTATATCTTTCATCCCAACACATCCACAGTAACATAAACTATGACAGAGAGCCTACAGCCTGTATGGATACAGGTCCAAATGGAGGCAATTTGAGTTTCATTCAGAAGAAAAAAACCCTCTAGTTCAAATCCACAGAAGATACTCAATAGGCCTGTATCAACCTTAAAGAAGTCCAATGAAGCAAAACTCTTAATGCTTTTTGCAGAAATTCTTCCTTTATAAGAGCACATCAGTTTGATAATGAAAGTTATATTAAATTTTCTACCATTTTTATTGCATTATAATGGAAAGGGAAGTAATCAAATTACCAAAGTTGCATTCTTCTCCAAGTTCTCGACCAAATTTCAGCATCGCATCTGCCAGCAAGGCTTCAGCCTGAGGGTAACCCGGTCCCTTTTCCTGGCCTCGAATTTTTGACATAGTGTTTATCATGCTGAGTTTAGCTCTAGAAGCTGAAGCAAGCGACAGAGGTTACAAACATTAAATAGTTTAACTACACAGACAGGAATGCACTCTTTAAATTATCTGAGCTACCTACAACATATTTGAAGGACATTATCTAAGTTTGGGACTAAGCCCTGTTTTTCATCAATTATTTTTAGAGTAAATGAACAAAACATTGTTGGTCACTGACTTTTTTTCTCCTACTGGTAGGCCAGAGAGAAGCCTCTGTCCTGGACTTTAAGTCAAAGCTTCCCTTGAAATGACTTGGACAGAAGAAAGCCCAGGACCACTCCCAAGATCGTATGTTTGACACTTGCTACAACTCAGGTAGAAAAATCTTTTAAGCTATCCCCAAATTCTTAATCTTAAAATCATCAGTTACCACATAGATAGCAGACTGAGGCAGCCTTCCTCTCAAGGAAAAAGGCAGATTAGGTACACTCAAGATTAAACTGGGCTACCCTACATTTTTTAAGTGTTTTAGAGTTTTTCTGTTGTAGAATATGAAATAAAACCTACGTCCCCAAACAGGATGTCCAACAACCTTTGAAACTCTTCTTGCTTTTTTATGGAGATTTGGGAAAACTCCTACTTCAACAGTTTTCAACTGTAATTTAGCTTGCATTTTATTTCAGATACACAACTGCAGATTAGAAGAAAGCATACAATTATCATAATTGATGAAAACAAAGACAGCAAACATAAAAGAACTAATTTGTTTGATGTGTTTTAGTGAATTTTTGCAAATACAGAATATGAATGGCCTGCAGAGAGTGAATTAATTAATGGCACTTTACTTCAAATTTTACCACCTAACTCCTGTTGCCAGCAAAGCTACCTCAGTGGGTGTTTCTACCTACATTATTGTCTGTGCTACAGAAGGGCAGCTATGAATGCCTCTACCTTCACCCTTGCAAAGTCTTGACTTTGCTAGTTCCTCTTATGAATTAGTATTTTTGTTTACAAAACATTAGCTCACACTGTTGTGTGCTGATTTCATTGCTCAAAACTCAGTCTTGCAAAGATTTCTGCAACAAAATAAAACATTAGCAGACTGCAGTCAACAAATGTTTGGCTCTTAATTTATTGTTGAAAGTGCATAGCAAGAGAGGGTTCTTGTTGCTGAGTATGTTACACTTTGTGGCATACAAATATATGCACAGACATTAGATACAGAAACAGACACAGGAAAATCAAGCAACTGTCATAGTACTTATTTGGCCTGGGAAGCCACTGTGAGAGGATAATAGTTTTTAACATATAGTAATAATGTTTTTGCAAGCTTTCTCACTACCCTTGAGTGCTACCAGATCATGCTTTTCAGCATCTGAATTTCTTGATGCTTTCTGTTTCCACCCACTACAAAACTACATTCAGCAGACTGGCTGATTGTTTAGTATCAGAAACTGCATTTTAATGAAGTGTCTGGCCTTTAAAAATGGCATCAAAATGATGCTGGCAATGGGAAAATACAGAAGCACAAAAGAAACTAAGGCACAAACAAAATCAGTCAGTGGAAAGGAGGCAGCAACCTAAATTAAAACAGGAACAACTGGGACTATTTTCAGAAATCAAAGAAAAAAAAAAGCAAGCCGGAACATAAAAAAACGAAGTGGCTACATTCTGAAAAGACAAGTAAGAGTAGAAAGCAAAAGGTACAGGAAAGAGTAAAAGAAATGAATGGACAATAAGGAAAGGGCAAGAAATATAAAGAGAAGAAAGGTAAGCATGAAAAATTCATGCTTCAATGATTCATCTAATCATTTAATAATGATGACATTAGAATCCTGATTTAATAGGCAATATTAGAACACATCCACCAGTGGTCTCATTCCACTTTTATTCTTTTAAAGTGATTCCAGTAACTTCCATGGCATCAGAGGTAAGTTTGTGCTCAATCTCAAAATCCTGACCCCTTTCATAGAATCATAGAATCATAGAATGGCCTGGGTTGAAAAGGACCTTAAAGATCACCTCGTTTCAACCCTCCTA